CCAAACCCAGCCTGGGCTCGTCCTGCAGCAATGCTTGTGGCCCTGCACCCACCTTGGAGATGCTCCCAGCTCTGAGATGCTCCTTCTCTGTCCTGCCACCCTCTCCCCACCACTGCAGCCGTGTCGGGTGTTTCCATAGCAAGTGCCTTAGCAAGTTTGGGATCGGTTATGAAAGCAGAGGGGAGCCATGTTGGGAGGTCTTGACCCAGCTGTGTAGTGAGTTGGGGGCAAGCGTGGAGGCTTCGGGGAGGCTCTGGCTTTGCCCCTGGGTTGCTCAGGGGTGGGCAGAGATGCCCTGCTCTTTCTGGGGGAGGTTGCAGGCTGACAGCCAGCCTGGGTTTGTTTTAGGATGGGGCACTTTGGACAGAGTGATCCTGAAATGCGGCTCTGAGGCTGGTGCTGCTCCTCTTGCATGGGGACATTAAGAGGCAAGGGGGGTTCTGACCTCCTTCCTCCTGCCCAGCCTGGGCTTTGTCTCCACCTGGCCCCTGGCAGGGCTGGGGAGGAAGCAGATGGGGAGCAAGCTGTGGGTCCATATCTGTGCCGCACCCCCAGCATCAGTTTTCTGCCTGGCTGGGCTTCTTGCATTCCCAGTACACTTCGGGGAGGGGGGGATGACTTCAACACATGAAGGAGAGACTCCCTCTAATTATCAGGAGTGATGAAAGCCTCTTAGGCAAGAAGTGATGAGGGAAGAGTGCCTGACCGTGGGAAGGAGAGAGACGGCACAGATGGCATCGTGCTGCCAAGCAACCTGCTCCTGTGCTGGGAACAGGCAGCAGCGACACACGGACACACCGGGAATACGGCCCCGGCCACGCCACCCAGCCCGACCTGCAGCCAGGGAGCTCTGCCTCCGCCCCTGCCATGGGGTTTGGGCAGCCTTGCAGCGAGCTGGGGCGGTCAAACAGACAAGCTGATGATGGCAGGACCAAGGCAGGCTGTAACATGGAGTTTCACCATGTTACTGGCACTCAGGCACTGACTTACTTGCCACTTTACAGAGTCCTTGGCCAGGCTGGGGGTGCTGACCCAGAGAGGCTCTAAACGCAGCAGAGATGCTGTGGAAAGAGGTACGTGGTGGTGAGTGCTCTTAGGGCGGCGTTTGATGTCCTTATGGCAGATGGAGAATCTCGGCAGAAGGAAGAGTGTGAAAACCATCTCCAAAGATGGGGCTTTAGAAATGGATTGGTTAAGTTGGAAGCAGCTGGGAGGGCTGAAGTAGGAGGGGGAGAAGCATGCACCTCAGGGTGTACATGGAGGATAACCTGAGATGCTTTAGGTCCTTTGGCAAGTGGGGACCACGAGACCAGCTGGGACCTGCAGTAGTTGAATGGCAAAGATGACACTCCTGAAATAGCCAAGATTTGGTTTTGGCCCTGAAGAACTGCAGTATGGAGCTGCAGCTCTCAGAGCCGGGGTTCCCAGAGCAGGACTGCACTAGGTGCTTCACCCAACTGCTTTGAGGTACGTTGTGAGGTGATGGAGAGTGGACTGGGGAGTCTTTTTGCAGATCGTGAAAGTCCTGGTGGCTGGAAAATCTCTCCTCTGTGGAGGGACGATTTCAGGAGAGGGTGGGTGGTTATGCCCCAGTATGTGGCTTGTGACTGCTTGGACCATGCTGCTCTCTTACATGACCCCTCTGTGGTTGCTCTACTTCCATGAGGATTAACCCGTGCTTTCCCTGCCTCCACATCTTGGATTTGCCTGCCCACCGGTCGCTGTGTGAGCCCTTATCAAGAAGACAAGAGCTGTCCCTTTGCTTTGTTTGTGTCCCCCACTCCCCTTACCCTCTGCACCTCCCTCCATCAAAGCAACCAGAGATAGGAGGCTACAGCTCTGCTTTTAAGTTGAATCTCTGCAGCTGAAATAAAAATTGCATATATTTGCATAAGGAGCATCTCAATTAGCATATTTGTGGGTAAAGCTAAAAGGGCTGTTCATTTGGAAGTGAAAATGTGAGCGAAACATGGAAATGACTTCCAGCCCCCTTTGCAAGCAGCTTAATTAAATATTTCCTTAGTGTGCGCGCATGGATTTGGGAAGCTCTTGCTGTATATGTAATGGTGTGTGAAACCCCAGGGTGGGCAGGGAAGCCTGAGGTGGGCATTTACACCCTGCCCTGCCTGCTGCTGCAGCTCCCTCGTGTGCTGTCCCCACACCTCCAAAGTGACAAATCTGCAGGGGGGCGAGGGTTTGGTGCGCCAGGCAGTGCCACCCGAGGATCTCCTTCTCCAGGAAGGTTTTCTTTCACCGCCTTGCACGGTGATGCTATGTTTTCCCTGTCATTTCCCAGGGGGTAGAGGCAGAGAGGTAGCTGTGATTTAGGAGCAGCATCAGGCTGGGCAGGGCTGCCTGCCTCCTGCCAGAGCTGTGCTCAGGGGAAGATCCTGCCTTTGTTTAAATATAATTGCTTTGGGCCCGATCCTGTTCATGCTTGGATCAGTAAGAGCAGGTATGAGCCTTCTAGGGAGAAAAATGGTGCTGCTGCTTTTTTTTTTTCTTTCTCTCTCTCTTTCCCCACCCTTTTTTTTAAAAGCCAAGCTGATTATTTTTCTTGCCTTTGAGCTTATGCCTCAGCAACTCTCCCATCTCCTTCCTGGGAGAGTATCTTGGGCTGCACGGGACATGCCTGGTGCAGACATGCCCTGTGAAAGCTCGCTGCATTAATGTGGGACCTCACTGCTGTCCTGGGACAGTGTGGCAGGGAGGGCTCAGCCCCTTCTGTCCACACAGGAGTGAGGGCCCCCAAAACCACCTCCAGCTGTGAGGGTCCATGGGATCCCCTGTGCTTGCAAACAGGGATGCCTCGTGGTGCTGGGAGGGTTTTTTTTTTTTTTGGGGGGGGGGGTTAGCAAGGGGACAGGCTGTTGTGGTGCCACTCGTGTGAATGGTTGCATGAGGAGGGGGGACTCTCTATGTCTTCTCCTGCTTAGGGGAGAGGCATCAGGTCCCTGGGGCTGGTTTCTTTGGTAAGAGGGGTGTAGAGCATCGCCCAGGAGAGGGAGGGAGAGAGGGGCATGCATGATCCCACCGCACAAAGAGCCCAGAGAGGAGGCTGAGGAGAGAGACAGAAACCTCTTGGGCTGTAGGGAGGGGGTGGAAGCGCACACACGCATGCACTCACAGCCATGGAGGGCTGAGGACGAGGGGGGCTGAGGGAGGGGGTCACACACAACCTATTGTGAGCAGCTGAAAGGCGCTACAGTCCCGAAATGTTAATCTGACCCAACCTTTTGCCAGTGATAATTTTCCTCTCAATGAGCGTGCATTAATCTGGCCCTTTCTCCCCCGTTCCCCCGCCGTGCAGAGCCCTTGTTCTGCTGCCTCTTGCTAAAAATCTCCTTTCAGCAAACCCAAATAAAGCTCCCAAAGTCTGGAGCTCCGTCCCTGCCCAGGAGCAGGGCGGGCAGGGTCAGCTTGCCAAGGCTCTGGCTGGGGCACAAACCCTGCAGTGCTGGAAAGGACGTTTCCCTTTGCCGTGCCATGGGCAAAACCTGGGGTCTGGGGTGCACAGGCATCTCCCCTCCCAACCTGCCAGTGCCCTCACCCCACACATGAGGGG